ATAGTTAGATCCAAAAAATACCCCAGCAACATATTTAAAAGGGAACACAAAATAAGGGAGCAAAGGAGACAGTTTCTGATGGAGATTAAAACCAGGGTGTTTGCTAATGCCTGGGAACCAGCTACTACAAATGGGTATGTTTGCAAATAAGGTAATAATCCTTTTTCTCTCCTTGAAAAAAGCCCCACCCTTCTTGCTTTGCACACCCAGTTCCAGTCATCCCCATGCTACAGAGCTGTGGAAACACTTTGAGAGTTTCCCACCCCGTAGACTGTTCTGGTGGTGTCCAGGCCAGGGCAGCACAAGCCCCTGCCAGCAGGTACCTCCTAAATGGGGCTGTGCTTCCCATCAGTGAGCTGGTGCCAGCTGCTAAGTCAAAGGAATGAGACAAGGAGCTGGTAATCCCAGAGCATTGACTTTTCCAGAGCAGCTCTGCTCTGTGAGCAGAAGCATTAGCAGGGCCTGGTGTCCTGCAGATGTGTCTCCTATCTCTCCATTGTCCTTTCCCTCCCCTTGCTTCCCCACTGCAATCTTACATAATATTACATATTGCAGCTGCAGTATTTCCACTTTTCCCTATACCCTTAACTCGTTCCCTTGTTCCCTCCAACATCCCCATGCTGTCCATGTCTCCTACCTAATCTTCTCAGCCTGCCAGCTGGGCAGGGGAGTGCAGATGCTGTTCCAGAAGTAGACGTGTGATAATTGGCCATCTGGATGCTGCCAGAGAGAATGGATAACAGCTGAGCTCTCCCTGCCTTTTCTTCAGCAGCAGATCTGGAAAGCCTCTCCTCTCAGTGCCGGCAGAGATTTCCCTGGAACTCAGAGGGACTTTATCATCTCTGAGAGTTTGACTGCCGCTGTAAAATCTGGTTCAAAATGCCAGAGTATTCAAGAATTATCAGCAGAAGGTCAAGCAGATGGACAGAGAGGATGACTTCATGCTCTCCACTGCTTTAGAGGTCCAGATTAATATCCCCCCACCCCAAATTTAAAAGCATTTCCAACCTCAGAAAAAGAGCAACTCCAAGTACATGGATGAAAGTCATGAGTTAATATTTTTATTGATCCCAGAAGAAAATCAGTCCAGGGGCTGGAAACTATAGTGCTCAAAGGGTCCTTAAATGAGTTGGTGACATTTTTGACAATGATGGGTGCTTGGAATGAAATCACTTGTAGCTGATCTGCCTCAAAAGTCTCAAGATGTTTTCCAGGGACATCTTAAAATGAATGCCAAAGTAACTGTATACCCTTTTTTTTATAACACAGCAGTTGCTACAATCTCTGAGCAAATTTAAATATTCATCATTTTAAAGCTCCAAAAGCTTTAGACATCCTGTCCAAAAAAGATCACTTGAGATTAATCTCAGTCCTGTACTGAATTTAGTTTTCAGCTGGAGCACCTCTCCTAAAACAGCATCCAAAACCTTCATCCAGTCTTTGGAAGGTAAAGTGCTCCTATGTGTATGCCACACATACCTGGGCAGCAGTGTCACACACTGTTGTTTTATTATTGTTTTTGTAATTAATAATAATAATAACAACATTAATATTAATATTATCTTTCATTATTGTTGCAATGATCTATGCAACCATTTTACTTTAAATTCTCTTTACATCTTTTTTATAGTCTAATGAAATGAACAGGACTCTAAAGATTGCTCTTTTTTTCCTACCTGTCCATTTTTTTACTTTAAGCAAAGTATAAAACCATGTGGCACCGCTTTGAGTCAGCAATTGCTTAAACTTTTTAAAATTCCATACACTAAGTGAAAAATGAGATTTACAAAACTAATGGAAAATAAATGTCTCCCGAACATGCAATACATTGACTTGCTTCCTTGCCTTAGTCTATAAAAACAGATGGAAGCAATAGCTACAGTGAATTACCTACTGTATGTAGGGCCCTGTGCTGTCCCATGACAGCCCTGGATGAGAACAGACCGTGCCACTTTTGTCACCACCCACTCTAGTGGTTGCCCTCCCTGGCGTGGACCAGCCTGTTCTTCACCCTATGTTACACCTACAGTGTATAGAAAGTCTTTCCACCACATTTCCACTGTACCTGGACTCTTAGACACAAAGGGAATACATATCAATAATGGTCATTTTCTCCCGGGAGCCTTGACCCAGCTCAATTCCTCTAAGCAAAGGAAATGTGGGGGCAAATCTGAAGGCATAATCCCTCAAAGGGACACAGCCAAGGCACAACCTGCAGGAAACACAAGCAGTTGCTTCCCAGGGATATACAATTGTTTTCCATAGCAAACAAGTTCCCAGCACGAGTTATCCACCACTCACAAGCTCTGTTCAATGTACCCTTGGAACACAAGCCTCTCACCACACACACAGAAGGAAAACTAATTTGCAGGGGAATGGTGTTTTAGGACTCTGCTTTCCGAAGTTTGCCTAATAAAGCAGAGACCAAAGAACACAGTATTTTCCTGAATATATGAATCATACCTTGATGGTGTCTACTTTGAATCATGCAATTCAAAGATCTCCCTGGAGCACTATTCCTTACTTTAGAAGAGAGCAGCTATCCCCAGCAGAGATGCAGCACATGTGTCGGGCTGATGGATGGCCATGCTCTAGCAAGAGTCAAAACATTTAGGGAAAAGAAGTTAAAAATTCCCTAGAAACCTTAACTAGCTCGAGAGTAATTTGAGCATTGCATTCAATTTACTGGCTACCAACAACAGCAAATTTGGCATCTTCCACAAAGGCTTTGCAGCAATGTCCTTTTCCCCACCGCAGAGCCCTCTCCCACCCACGCTGCCCACGTGCCTGTCGTGGTTGATGAGGGAACATGTTCCACTGAGGTCAAGGGCAGCATTGTGTCAGACCACAACAAAAACACCATCAGGACTTGGATCAAGAGAGATAAATGGAGCTTGGTAAAAAATTCACTATGACTTAATTCTTCTAATAGGACAGAAGAAACAATGCCCATGTATATCGCACTTTACTAACACATTTGAACAATAAAAAAGAAAGGGCTTGTCTTGTGAACTAATAATTAAATATCAGCAATTTAAAGTTCTGTATATTGCTTACACATTATTTAGTACTTCACTCCCAGGCCCTCACGAAAGAAATTCCTTCTGCAGCCAATAAACACTTTTGCAGGTCTTATTGGACCCCACAGGATGGGACAGCACCATCCCAGTGCTGGGCTTACCAGCACAGCCCGTTCCTGGGTCTCTGCAGAACATTCACCCTTCCTGCAGAGCCTGCCACAACCAACCAAACAGAAGTGCAGTACCTGAGCAATGCACCTGCACAGCAGCAGGGAACAAACCTGCTTCAACACCTTTGCACTCCATTCTCCTCAAGTGCGGCTGTAGGAATTACTGTGGCTGACGTTTTCCCAGATGACTGGCCCTGTGGTGACATCCACTTGAGATAGAATCCAAACAAATCAACAACATATTAAGAATCTTTGCATATGAATTCCCTCCCATCCTGCAGCATCTGCAGGCATTGATGTCAGGTGGATGCTGGATTCTCAGAACTGAGAGCAGGCTGTGCTGCCAGGGCTCATTGCATTAAAAAGCCCCTCAAATACGTGCAAAACTGGACTCAAATCTGTCCAGGAGATAAAGCATAAGGCCAGAAGAAGGACTTCACTAATTAGGGCTATCTGGGCTCTCCTGTGTGACCTTTACAGTGCACCAGCCCTATGTTGTGAGATCACTAGGCTGAACAAAAATACGTTAAAATTAAAGGTACCACCAATCCTGGTCTCCCATCCACGTCAGGCTCACTTCACATGGAAGGACATTCCCTTAGCTCACATGCTGTCTTCTGCCAAATCATGTGCCATTTGCTTTAAATAAAAAGGACTTTTAACCACTTCTACTCATGTGAAAGTACACTGAGCAGGGAGAGGGCCAGTGCAAATGCATTCCATGGAACCCAAAGGAGAGGGAATCTCTCACAACGAGAGCTGGCTGCAATTTGCCACAATTTTCACACTTTTTTTTTTTTCAGGAAGTTTCCCAGTCAGCCTGCAAATTTTTCCAGCCAGATAAAATGTAGTCAACGCATAAATGAGTTGACAAGTCATTCTCTGCACATACTAAGTTGCTTTTATTAATCCAGAACTGCATGCTACAGATACTGTACAGCATGAACATTTATTCATTACAAAAAATGGCTTCCAAACCATTAAAAATGAAAATCGGAATAAGAGCATAAAACGGAACAGTAACATCACAACTGTTAGGAAACATTCAAAGTATTCACAAAAAATGTTATAGTTAGCATCTTAATAAACCAGAGAAAAATCTGAGACAGTTTTACAATCGCTTCATGTCAACTACAATGGCACTGAATGAACAGATGAACAATTTTTCAGCTTTATACAGCGTTTTTTGCAACATCAACATGCCTAGGTTTTTTTTTTTTGTTTTAAGTTTGCTACCTACCTGTATGTAGTAAGTGTACATAAAAGTGGCAGTCTGATTTTCCTTTTATGAATAATCTAATATACAGAATTTGGCCCTTAAGGGTTTATACCTCTTCATTTTAAATGCTTTCCGGACAATCTGCTACCAAACACGTCTGTTATAGGTGACATTAAAACTACATACATATCTACCTATGTAACATCACAGCAAAACATGATGAACAAAAAAATTACAGCATTAAAAAAAAAATAATAAAGTTGTCGGGAGAAAGTTAAAAGTCACTGAGAATTTTGGCACATAAAAATTTTGCACACAGCCTACAGTCCTAATGTCGCAGGGGATTCAGCTGCAGTTCTGAACGGGAGACACTTGGACCTTGCTATTTTTCAAACAGCATTGCTAAAAATTCCCTTGCTAAATTTTCAAGTCTTTTCGAGTGTAATGGCTTTTAAAGCAATTTTATTCTTTACACTATTGATCCTTGAAAAAATGCATCTGCGAATGTCCATTTGGTGGCAACCGTATTTCATATAGCAAAAAAAAAAAAAAAAAAAAAAAAAAAAAAAAAAAAAAAAAAAAAAAAAAAATCACAAAAAGAAATCGAAAAACAAAATCCCGGAAAAAATATATATATACACATTTATATATAAACTTAAAAACCTTGTACAAATGAGTTGTTATATATAAGATGCTTACACTAAAGGAAAAAAAAAAAAACCTTTATACAATGTTTCAAGAAAAAAAAAAAAAGAAGAAAAAAACATTTAAAAAGGGACAACATACAGATACAACAAGCAATTTCTAAAGCAATAAATACTACTGGTCCAATAGCGTTGTGATACTTTTAATTGTTGAGTAGCGTCCCCTCCCCCAAAAAGAACAACACCATGGAACAAGGTATATTAACACATTTTTTTAACCCTTTGTTTCTGTACATTTAAACAATAACAAGTAACATCACAATAAAGGTTGTTTCACACAAGGAAGAAAAAAAAAAGAAGTAGTAGCGGCACCGCATTCGTTATGCCCTTAAAGGTTTAAAAACCAGATGTAAAATGATTGGTTCGCAAGCTCGTATTTAATACAAATAATAAAGAACCAATGCCTCTGGCAAGGGCTGCTTCAAAATTGCTTCTTTTTTTTTTTTTTTTAATTTTTAAAATCAGTCTTTAAAACTAAGCTATTGGAACTACATAACAATTATGTATATATATATATTTTTTAAACGCTACAAAGACTTTAAACAGCTGTTGATAAAAATTTTGGCAGAATCATGAGGCTTTTCTCATCTACATATTTAAAAAGGAGAAATTGAAATAAGAATGGGTCAAATATTGACCAATGAACTCGATAAAACATCAACTAATGTAGCCACATGGCACAAATTAAAAATGAAACCGAGAAACGACGACAAACAGCGGACAACAACGAGAAGAAAAAAGAAAAAAAAAAAAAGGAAAAAAAAAGGAAAAAAACCAAAACAAAACAAAACCCCAAATACCAACAGAATTCAATCCCCCCGAAAGGAAACCGAAAGGGCTAACGAGGCTAAAGCTATTCTAAGGACTTCGTTACAAGGGAGAGCGGCTGGGGCTGTGTCCCCGCCAGCGAGCTGTGGGAATGCAAGGAGGACGTGGAGGGCTGTGCGAGGGAAGCGGCGGCGGCCGGCGGGAGGGCGGCCGGCGGGTGGTCCAGGGCCCCGTTGGGGCAGCTGGCGGCGGGCAGGGCGCCGGGCTTGCTCGCGGCGCTCTCAGCGAGCACGAGCGAGGATGGCGGCGGCATCATCACCAGGTGCGCCAGCGGGTCGGGCTTCAATGAGAGCGAGAGGGGTTGCGTTTGTTCAGTCTGTGGTTTCGAGTCTCTGGAGGGGGAGGCGAGCATGGCAGGGGAGGACGGAGGAGAGTCTAGTAAGCTTCCATCTGAAGAGGGTGGGCTGACGCAGCTGCCTTCACCTTGTATGTAGCGAACGCACTTTTTTTTTCTCCTAGAAACAGGGAGAGAGTTATCTGTGAATAAAGGGCAGAGATGCTGATGGAGACAGTCATCTACAGCAAAGAGCCGTCAATCAGCTACTCTGGGCTCTGCACGGGTGGCACCCCGGCCCCACGTGCCATCCTGGGGGTCTGGCAGGGTGTCCTCGGCACCAAGCCCGCTCGGGAACCTCCCCTCGGCTAACAGATTTGGAAAGGATTCACCAATCAATTGTCTCTTCATCCCCCTCCTCTTCAGGCTTCCTCCTTCCCTTATTTTCATAATCAGAAAACCAGATAAATGGGTTTTGGAGCCCACTGTTCTAATCTACAAACTTTCCTCCATGGGAAAAAAAAATATTACAAAGCAATTTAATCCTCCTAAAATAAAAACCCTGGATAGCTGATGGTATCTCAAGATGTCCCATAACGCTGTCCAGCTCAACAGGGCTATAGCTACACCTGTGTCACCTGTGATTTCTTACGATGCCCTGCCCTTGGGAGGCAAGAACGGCTGCAAACTACTGCTCATTGCTTCCTCCTCTGTTAAGAACCACACCAAATCCAGAAATGTCAGTCAGACAGGAGGGATATATAACAGAGAGAACGAGAGAGAGAGGGGAAATAAAAACAAAACGAACAAACAAAGCAAACAGAAGAAAAAAACAGGAAAAGAACAGGAAAAACAGAATATGATCCAAAATAACAAGAATAACTGGTTGTATGGCCTGCAGGTTGTGGCTTTAAATCGACTCAGTTTTACTTTTTGTTTTAGGGGAGTGGTAGATTTGGGAAGCTGCTTGTCTGCATTTTGGGGATTTTCCTCTGAGAGGCCATCCATGTAACTCCAGAGTGGGATCCAATTTCAGTAGGTGAAGAGCACGACGACAGGTACAAAGGTGAGGAGCAACATGGATCTTATTTCACACCAGCGAATATGAGAGTCTCGCAAGAGCTGCTCATCTTCAAATAAATAAGTGACCCGACAGAGATCTTTTCTCCTCCCTCTGTCCACTGGATAATGTAAAGGAGCAATGAAAACAGATGACAGTTTCACACCATCTCTCTTGCCAGGTATGCGCAAGACAATTCTAGCAGTAGGACAGAAATAATGAGGCAAACAACCACAGCATCTGGCAGAATGATGTCCAGTGGCCACCTTGATCCTGAGCACGCTGTCTTTCCAGCCCTCCTATGCACAATCACACTTCCCATGGGAAGTGTTGAAGTGCAGTCACACAGCCCAAGGCATAGGACAAAGCCTGTCTAGAGCAGCTCTGCCACAAAAACTTTGGATGCTCAGCTAAGCTGCACAAAGCCACCGATGTGAAGGAGGAGGTTGCTCTCCCTCTCCAGTGGATAGGCCACCCCAGGTCCACAGCTTCATCAGAGGAGGGCCCAACAGCTGAATGTCACTGGGGGACATTCCCCACCCCAGTAGGTGCCCAGGTCCCCTGCTGGTCGCCAGGATTCTCCCCTATGTATGGTGCTTGACTAGGTTAAACCAAGCTCTGCCCTCGAGGCAATGAGGACAGATGCTTCTCATCTGCAATGGAGATCAAACTAGCTTGATCCTGGAGTTAAAACTATCATCTCCCATAGCCAGGAAGGGAACAACAACCTCAGCACCCCATCTTTCACCAGCTTCAGTGAGGGACCAGTGCAGTGACATCCCTTCCCCAGAGACTCAGGTCTGCTCTCAGATTCTGCTCCATGTGCCACATGGCAAGGTGAGGAGTTAGGGCTATTAGAGTTTTAACCACGTTAGCCTGCAGATCAATACATGCTAAAAACTAAAGACAACCATGCAACTTAAATGTTAAAAAGAAAGAAGGAAAGATAGAAGACAGCAAGTGAAGGCTGTAAACCATGCTTTATTAGAGCAATGTTAAAAGACAGAAAAAAATTAATTTGGTGGGCTCAAAACAGACCTTGTTAATTCTTCTACCATTAACAAACAACACTGGAGATCTCTGGCTCTTGGCTAAGGACAGCTCTGCTGTTCTCTCTCCCCCCTCCTCTCTCACCACTTCCTACTTCAGCTGTGCAGCACTACCAGGGCCACAGTTCCTGTTTGGACCTTCTGGATGGCTCCAGTGGCAAAGCAGGACAGCTAAGTCCCAAAAAGTTCACCAATATTCCTTGTGTGGGAAGATGGGTTCTTACAATCTGGAGACTGCAGGACTCCCTCTCCATCCCCAGATTAAAATTACTTGCAAACAGAGACCTCAGCTCTGCCTGTCTCATTGATGGGGGTTCACAAGTCCTTTAACTGGACTGCACTGAACCTACAGGGCAGTGAATTATTTAACTGGAGGCAGCTCAAATCTAGTATAGCAGCATTTCAAATTTATTTTTTAATATTATTTAAGTTCTGTGGCCTGAAAGAAATAGCTCCCATGGCGAAGCAGCCTTAAAACAGGTTTACCTGACTTTCTGACACTGCAGAGCTAACAACCTTTTAAAAAACCAAACCCATTGCTCTGCTACCTGAAGTAATTTTCCTTTCACTAGGATTAAGGGAACGTATTGCTTCTTTTGCTAAACTTTAATAGTGTGGCCACTTGTAGTCTGAAAAAAATATTTACTTAAATTGTGATGGCTCAAGGGGGGAGACATTTCTGCAATCTGTGCCAATGCCACCATGGTTACCTGTGGTCATGTACCTGTCAGGGCTAAGTGGGACAAAAGGTCCAGAGGGCAAACCCCCAAACCATGCAAGCCTAATTTTAGCAGATGTGAAGACCATCAAGCAGCTCTGGTGAGGGGGAATAAGTAAAAATCTAAGGAACTACATGTGCCTCAGTTTTGCTCTCCTAAAGGCTGGAACAAAAATACCACATATCCCCTGCTCAGAAGCACTGATGAGCATTGTTCACTTGTGCACTTCTCTGAAAGTGTTAACTTGCTACATCAGTGAGGAAAACACCAACAGACCTGACCCCACTTCTGCTGCCCTCGAAACTAGCCCTGGAATACCACTAGGAAACCTGTAATGCTGCAATTGCCATGAGTAAAAGCCACAGAAGACTGCAAGGGTTTATTCAGTTGCTGTGGGCAAAGATGTCTCAGTTTTCACTGCAGTAGCAAACTGCACATCTTTAGCACCTATCCAAGGTGTGCTACAAAATGCTACCATGCTAGCAAATGCAATGTTATAATGGTTAGGACCAGAACTAGGAGAGAAATGCTCTAATACCTAAGGGTAAAATGTCTCCATGCATTAAAAAACAAAACAAAACAAGAAACCAAACCAAAACAAAAAGGAAAGCAGCTGACTCTGAATCAGTAAGTCCAAAACTATCAGCTATACCACTGAAGTTGTCCCTGCTGCACTGAAAAGACTTCTGACCAAAATCTGATGTAAGTTAAGAGAGGGTTTACACTTCACATGTAACCTAAGCACTGTACAGACCAAATAAAAAGTTTCCTTGCTGATAAAATGTAGTTTTAAAAGTATGTTGCTTACTTAAGCAGCCAGGAAAAGATAAAGCAACACAAACATGATGTGCCCCCAGTTCTGGTAGTTGGCAGGCAGAGCCTGACATGCTTCACATACTCTATCTCTAGACTACACAAATATCTGCTGATAGTGTGCAGCAAAGTAACCACAGAGCAGAGCCTAACTAAACACAGCGCTGCAGTCCTCGGCTAGCATGGGACTCGAGCCTCCTGATCACTGAAGCAGCTACACACCTCTTGTAGACCGAGCCCTTCTCCCTTTAAGCACCAAGAAGCTGCTGCTTTCCCAGCTTGTTTAGCACTGGTACTGATAGCTGAACCCCAACACCCCGTGCTACCGCGCCTCAAATGGGACAACACAAGCTGCAGAAGGCATTTCTGTGCCTCCTCTGGCACACTGACACACACCACCACCCTCAATCCCTGGTTCCTCGACACTAAGCACAGACAAGACTGCGTGCATACACAAAATACGATGGACGTCTGAGCTACATTCTAAATGAGATGGAGCACATGGGACTGGCATGAGTAAGAGGGGAAAATGTGGGAGAGGAATCACTACACACAGAGTGTGGTTTGGATTGAAATACCTACCATCATATTATTCCAAATTCAAAGACTGCTTGTATCAGAATAAAGAAACAACAAATTTAACCAAATGCGATCATATAAGGAAAAAGGAATGAGAAAAGAACTACTCGGTATCCCTCCACCAAGAAAGAAGTACGTACTGAGTTACACATGGAATTAAACTCCAGTAGAACATGGGCTGCCGGAATTTGGGCTTTCTGATGTCTTTCATCTCCTTTTAATGCTGGAAACTGTGCTACTAAAGTCGTAATTAGTTTTGTCTAGAGCTCAGACATTTACAGCTCGCTTGTTGGGATAAAATTTAAGAAAAAAAAAATATTTTTGGGATTAGAAAAAAAAATTCAGATATTTAAAAAAATTGTATCTACATAAACCTTACTGAGACACAGAAGCCAACAGGTAGCTGTTTAATTTTTCAGATAATACCAAAAGAATGAATACAATATAAGCTGTAAACGCTGGCTTTTACATCTCTAATAATGAGAAAAACACTAGTGCTGCAGATCCCAGAACCTTTTTAAAAAGCCTTTGCAGGCAGGGGGTGTAGACCCAAATGAAAGACAAAATATAAATGTCCAGCTAAACAGTAATTTTGCTGACAATCTAGAAAAGAAACAAAAAAAGAAAAAGCCAAAAATTTGCCAGCTTTAAGGACTTTGAGTTTTCTTGTTCCCAGTTCTACCACCAGGGAGAGGTTATTGGTAAAGAAAGAGAGAAAATGGCATTAAATTAGCAAGAAATTCCAAAGATCAAAGATTATTAGCAATTGATGCTGTGGGAGAGAGAAAAGTGGGGAGTGGGGAAAAAAGATTAAAAAAATAAAATCACACAAATGCACTAAGAGGACAGATTGCTTTTATTTCCCCAAAGGCCTAATGGGTAGTTTTATACCTGCATGGTTTGCACCATAAACTCTGTCGGTCAAGCCCGAACAATGCCCGACACTTCTTTGGAGTATTTGCATCTGTTAGCATAAGGTAAACACAAAAAATACAACACAATGGTGGATAGAGCTCATTTGGTCTGCGTCATCTTAGCTACAGCTACGTTCAGCTTTCAGTCACCTCCGTTTTATTTGGTAATCTCCCCTAGTACCAAGGGCAGGAAGGAAAACAGGACTTTCACAATGAGCCAAAGGAAAACAAACAAACAAAAAAAATCTCCGAGACAGCCACGAGCCTGTGTGGTGTCGGAGCCGCACTCAGTGCCGCGTTATCAAGGGCTTTGGGAGCGACTTTCCTTGGGTGGAGGCTTGGAAGGAAGGAGTGTGGTTGAGCCACGGATCAGATGGGCTTAAGGTTGATGCTGTTTTACAGTGGGTTTTTGGCTAGCAGCAGCAAAGAGGAAGGCAAAAAAAAAAAAAAACAACAACCAACCAACCAACAAAGAAAAAAAAAAATAAAAGCAAAACCCTTTCGGAGAGACGATTACTGATGGCAGTGTCCCACTCCCTTGTGTCTTCTAGATCACAACACAGAGCTACAAAGCAACAAGGCAGGAAAAAAAAGGGGAAAGTACCAAATAAACCAGCTGCAAATCAGCCATAGCGAGTCTGGGAAAACTATACACACCTGCAGGGGCCGCACCAGTTATTCTGTTGATCAAGGCCAAAGCGCGCTCGGCATTTCTTAGGAGCGCTCAGGTCTGAATGAGTTCAAGAAAAGCGAGCAGAAAAGGGAGAGAGGAAAAAAAGAAAAGGGGAGAGGGGGGAGTGAGAGAGAGAGAGAGAGAGAGAGAGAGGAAGAGAGAAAAAGGGAGAAAAAAGAGAAAGGTAAAAATAAGGAAAAAATAAAAATAAAAAAGGGAATAAAAATCAATGTCCTCGTTATTAATTGCAAATATTGACTTTGATTTAAAAGTTTAAAAAAAAAAGTGATAATTACATTTTTATTCAACTCTTGAGATTAGCTGTTGCAATTAAAGCTGCAGTATCCCTTTATAAAGGACTGTTTCTTTCCCTTTCAAGAGAGCAGGTAGAGGAAAGTCTTTGTGGTTGGTCTAGCAGGATGTTTCAGGCAAGATTGATTTGGGCTGGGGTTTTTTTGTTCGTTTGTTTTTTGTGTTTCTTTTTTTAAGAGTGGGGGAAAAAGGAAGAAAAGAAGCTGAGTATGGAAGTTAGATCCTGAACATGCTTTTTTCTTCAACTCAGATAAAAAATAAGAGAAAGTAAAAAAAAAAAAGAAAGTAAAAAAAAAAAGAAATTATATCTCCTGGGATAATGCAGCTTTTGGAATAACATTCAATTTACTTGTTTTCATTAATTTGTATTTAAAAGAATGGATAAGAATAAGCAGATTGCAGGATGAGTATGTTAGTATCAGCCAGAAAATAAAACGTAAAGCATGGCAAGGTGCTGAGTTAGTACAGCTAGTGAATTGCAATGAATAGGCTTCAGCAGAAAGGAAAAAAAAATAAAACCAAAACTAAAATAATAACAAAAAAATGCATATGCATGCTAATGTGAGAAGACTTAGTGGGAGCCATGAAAAATGCCATTAGATTAAGGAGGTTCATTACTGACTTGCTTCCATTCTTTATCAGTCTCTTTAAAGAAATACTGCATATTCAATTTGCACAGTTAGTACAACTCTTGCGTTATTTTTTACTGCATTACTGTTTTAATAGCAATTGTTACAAAAACAAAAAACAAAATTAAAAAATACTATCAAACATAATAAGATATAAAGATATATAGATAATAAATACTATCAAAACGTGTGGATGGTATTTTTTTCTTAATGTCATAAGTGTTTAATGTTAAAATCTATAATGGCAGGAAAAAAAAATTAAAAGCAGTTTATAAACTATTTTAAATGACTCAAAATGACGTTAGCACCTGTAATCGGAGGAAGTGAAAGGCAAGGATTTAGGAAACATTCGCTGTGTTCTGAAAAAAAAGAACAAATTATACAAAGGCTTCAAAAAAACTAAGTCAGGGCTTCTTCAAGATCGACTATGAGATTGCCTATGCAGTATTTCTAATTTCCTATATAGAATGGCAAACCTCCTTAATTTAAGATGGGTGCGATTTACCACTGTAAGGCATGCATCAGGACATCCAGGGACAGCCCAAATTAACGGCACACGCACACGGACACACACGCACGCACACGGATGCGCGGAGGAAGCGGACGGCTGGATAAACGATGGCATAGGCATCACAGCTACGGCTCTGCGGCTACAGGCTCGGCAGCTACAGGGACAAACTCAGCTAGTGCCACACGAGGAGGCTCTGACATGCAATGGCTGGGTTACTAGTTTTAGAAGGGCGGTAACGCGTGAATAATTGGAGTGCATTTAAAAAAAAAACCAACAAAAAAAGCTGTCTAGCATAGGGACTGGCTCCCCTGAGGCCAGCAGACCTGTGCCCACCTCCCCCGTACCTACAAGGGTCACATCAGGACTGCCACACTTCCACTAAGCAAGAGGTTCAGACTTATCTTTACTTACCGTTGGTCTCTCCTGGCTGCTTATCCCTTTTCCTCTTCTTCTTCTTTCCCTGTGGAAAACACACAAATGAGAAGGATTAAAATAAAACCCCAAACAAGAGGGTAGATAAAAACCCTTGCAAGAGGGCACCGAGCAATGAGGCTGTGGCTGGAGCAGGAAGCTCCCATGGTGGGGACACTGAAGTGTGACACTGGCTCAACCCCGGTGTAGGGAACTTTTGGGGACCCCAAGGAGATGCTGCACCCTGGGATTGACTCTGCCTGCCCACCCTGTGACTTTTCACACAGCCTCAGTGCAGCCCCCCCTAAATGTAAATGCTAACACCCACCAAGGCCACGGACAGCTGGGGCAGGGGCAGAAGGACTTGCAAGATGCTGCTTTTTAACTAAGATCATCACAAAGCCAAAAACATTAAACATGTGCATGTTCCTGCATGCAAGAATTTCAAGAATCATTTGTGGTCATGTATTGGTGGGGCAGGGAGGGGAAGGAGAGGGAGATTAGAGAGGGGACAGTGAGGTCAGACGGAGCCCCTGAAGTTCCTCAGCACCAACCCAAGCATTCAAGCAGACAAGGAAGCCACCAGTAATGAGTGAATCCTAACCTGCAGTTTTATAGTTCCACTGACAACCTAGAAAGCAATGCCAGGACAAGAAAAAAAAAAAATCCAGACATAGCCAAGACCCTTCCCACATTTTGCTCTATCACAAGGAAACTACCAGTAATATTTTGCTAAACTCTATCCCATTCCCAAACGCTGTACCACGAGATGATGAAATTTGTTACAGTTTTTGACTGGAGGGAGAAAAGCCTGTTCTGTTTCCCTCCAACATTGTGGGAGAGGACAACTGGGAGCCCAGCTTGCTTGGAAACACAGCAATTGCTTTCCAATAGAAAAAAATATGAAGTAATAAGCATAGCTCAAAAGAGAAAAGCTATTTTTTCCAAGAAAACTCCTCTAACGCTGAGGTACAGGGTTTGCAGACCACTACAACAAGGGCAATGTAGGCAACAGTAATCTCATTTTCCCAGCTTCGCATATGCTAAAAGCAACAACTTTTGGGCCAGCAACATTAGCTGTGAACAGCACAAGAATTCCTGGCTTTTGAAGACAGGTAGCAAGCACAGCTGGTGAGAAGACCTCAGAGCAGCAGTCCCTTGTGGTCAAGGGGCAACAAACATAGCAGGAATCTCAAATAACTTTTGAAGTGCTAGACGTATCTGGGAGAGCCAAGAGGTTCTCCCACACAATGGGCATCTTTCTCAGTAGATGAATTCCAGATACATGGTTAAGATGGGCTTCAGTGTGTCACTTGCACACTTGGGATGCTCCCCATGGTAGGTTTCCTGGAATATGTCAGTAAAAAATCCCCCCAACATGAACATAGGACATTGATTTGTTGTTGTCCTGTTTTTACTTCACAAAGTTGGCCTTGTGGCATGGGGTTTCTGCACTCATCCCCTCTTGTTTGCTCAGGGTTGTAAACTGCCATGCTGTTGTCCAGGCTGCTCCAGGTTTATGAGATCCTTCTGGAGATGGAAAAAGCTGAGTGCACTGTCCATCTCAAAGGAACATTAAACAACACACACATAATCCTGCAGCCTGGATGCTGATGACAAATAGTCTCTGACACCTCTGGGGTAATTTTTCGGGATATGGAAGTTGTCAATTGCTAGAGCAGCCATCAGTCTAACATGACAGGCAGACGAGTGCTGCTCCTAAAGCTCCCTAAGAACAGAATAGAGAAAAACCACGAGATCTTGAAATCCACGTATCACATAAAGATGCAAGAGGCTCAGACTCTGCTCCATCTATATTGATCTAGATTGACAGTAACTCTGCAAAAATCAGTGAATTTTTTCCAGCTTTCAACATCGTAACCAAAAACTAGACAATTGCTTCAAGATTATAAGCCTGACTTTTATTTAATCTCAAGGAGGCCAGTGGCATAATTAACAGACTGCATCTATGGCAAATTTGCTTAATTTTTGCAGTACATCTGGGAATTCAAGGGCTATTTCAATTTGAGACCTTATAACTTCTTCATTCAAGGGTCAGCCAGAACAAAGGTCAAGGAGTCACCTGCCTTTCACAAGCTCTTCAAGCCAGGTATTAAAGTTCTGCAATGCCTTTAGGGAGCAATCTGTTAAAAACAGTCGATCTACAGGAATATCAGCCAGGGACCAGGAGTTCCTCGTTCTTTTTCAGCACAAGCTTTTAAAACTCCTCCTAACAAATAATGGACAGCAGTCACACCAAGTTCTTTACACCCATTTCAAAGGAAAGAAGGAGAAGAATAATCTGGTTTGCTTGTTTAGTTTCTGGGCTACAAGAGGATATTAGACTATGTAGCTAAATTCATATATGGACTTAAGGAAAGAACTGTGGCAGGTTTTCAAGTGTTCTGCAGAAGACATCTTTTTTTCTTTGCCTAAGATTGCTCTCCCAAGACTTAAGAAGATTGTAACATTTTCTGTCACCATGCTATATAAATTTTTATGCTGCACGTTAATGCAGATGTAAATACCTGCTAACCATTTTGGAAGCTCCCTCTCCGGAGCCAAACCAACATGGGTTTTGATAGGTCTGCAGAGTTCCTTGCTACTGATTTTCAATTCAACCAGTGGGTGAGGTGACTGGACCCTTACATACTTCTGAGTCCAGCACTCAGCACTGCTAAACATCTTACATTAAATCTCAGGAAGAGCCAGTGTGCCTTGTGACACCAACAAGCCATGAGGCTGAAAGCTGCATTTCCTGAATGCACTGCTCCTGTCTCTGAAGACCTGGGCTATAGCTGGCCTTATCCTTGAGCCTGATGTGAGGTGCTTAACAATTTAACCACTTCAAGCAGCCCAAAGTCGCTCCCCTGCTAGATGTGTGAAAGGCTCAAGACCCTACAAGCTGCTGAGGGAGGAGGGGCACTCAGGAGAGCTGTGAATGGACCAGGAGAGGAGACATAAATAAATCCTGCCGATGATGCAAAGGTACCAGGCTCTCCTCAGGCAGGAAGGTTCCCCCTGAAGGTCACTTGGGGGTACAGCATCAAGCCGCTGGGAAAGCACCGGCTTTCTCATCCTGTCCTTTTTAGCTTGAGAAGAAAGGGTTTCTCAGTGTTCACACAGTGAGGACAAAAGTAAAAGGTCCTAAACACTGAGGCTTTGTACATGCCCATCTGTCGGTGGCACAGTCACTTTGCAGAATGAGCATTCCTGAAACCTCAGTCGAGCCTACACTCCCTTTTGAACACCCAAGACGACGATACTGCACAGTGCTGAGGAATTACCTCGAGCTGTGGTCTGACAGTCTCAGGCCAGACTGCTGAAAAGGGAAGGAGAATGTGCCAAGCAAGAGCTGTGCCTCAGCAGGCTTGAAAAGGTCTCCTCTGAGGAGCACAGAATCAAGAATATTCTGAGCTGGAAGGACAATTTAGCATGTACAGTTATGCCTGCAATGACCAAGGAGGGAGAGCTGAGCCCAGTGGAAAGAGAAGATTATCAAGAAAACAGAAGGATTTGAAAAGATGTCCTTAAGCACATACTGATAAATAAGTGAGCATGTGTATTCTCCACCACCGAAACAGCAGAAGAGTGTAAAGGGCTGCTGCTGCTTCTCCTGGCCTCACTGAACTGGCTTCCTCCCACCCATACACATAAAAATGCAGATTTTGCTTAGGAAAATATTGTCATATACAGCAAAATAGAATATTTATGGTAAAACAGGCAGTGATGATGATGGGGATGAAAGAGGCAGACTTCAACAAAACTGTAATGTGTAACTCTATGCAAAACTGGCAAAAATCTTAGAGCTGTTGGTCCCCAAACCTGCAGGCAAGTGTGACTAGAAGGCAGAGAACAGGGTTTATTACAGAGTTAGAGACCTTGAAAGTTTTAGGTGATTTTTATTTAACCTAAAAAAAAATCAAGATGCTGCTATAATCCTATTAAAAAGGGTTTAGAGCTCTCACCAATCCACAAATCTGTCAAGAATTTATGGGCTCAGGCTTGCAAACACTTATTACCATCTGTACCACTTACCCTTCATGGAAGGAGCTATATAGTACTAGGGGTTATAAAGCTGCCCTTGTGCTTTTTAACAGACAAAACATTCTACCACTTTTAGCTCAAAAACAGGCTTTCTGACAAGTAGAGGGAGGAATCAATTTTAAAAACAATCCATTAATTGATCATGAATTCCAATATACTTTTTAAAAAATGAGGAGGCTAGGAGGGGAAAAAAGGTAACATGGGCATGAAAAAGAAAACAAAAACAAAATACACAGTTGTAGAGTTTGGAATAATTCATTTAACCCCACTTGAGACTAAGACTTTAAAAAATAAAATGCTTTTGCTTTTGTCAGTCCTTCTCTGAAGCTAGGATAAGTCATTCTTCCACTTTCCACTACACTATCACACAGATAAGCACAGATAAGCACAAGACAATAATTATTTCTCTCTTTTGGTGGAGAGAAGCCATACTAGGGAACTTTTAGATTTTGTTTTCAAAAAATGAAATTCAAAATGACCAGCAAGCCAAACAGCATTTCCAGATGCTGGTGAAAGTGAAGGGAAGACTTTCTCCGCAGAGCTCTACTGTTATCCTCAAATTCTAACCCCATACTAGTCCCAGCCAGGAAGCCCCTTCCAAGTGGAGGGCTGGGAATTACCCCCCAGTAGTTTTGGCATCACCAAGGGAAGCCCTGTTGTCGTTACCAGATTGGGGTCCTGAGGTTTTCCACGTAGTGCTTGTGTGCAATGTGCAGTTCAGCAGGATAATGCGTGCCACTGGGGTGGAGAAAAGACAAAAAGACAAAATAAAAAGCACTAATGGTTCGGGTGTTTTTTAAGCACATTAACAGCAAAGTTTGTTATTTATACATATAAGTACAGCTAGAATAGATTTTCATTAAAAAAAAAGAGAAAAACAGATAATCTGGCATGCTGATATTCATGTTTTATTTACAACTCTAGATAACTGCAGTTAAATCAACTGAACCACAACTAATCATTTACATGCACTCAACCCCTTTGTCTCCTGTTGAGAGAGGAGAATTAAGAAATCTAAACAAAAACAGACAGCAGGGGAGATGGTCCAGAAGCTGAACCAGAAGCTGAGCCAGAACTCAGGTACAACTTTGGAGGTGGTCTCTCCCACTGGCACTGCCTCCCCTCTTCTAGCTCTCACAGGTGCTGATACTGGTACTGTACTCAAAGTTTTTTCACTTCCCATTTACTTTTCTGCCTATCTTAGGCCAAAATAAAAATCTAAGATTTTTTTTCATCAACTGGTCATGGAACTGACACTGAAATAACATTATTTAATTAATTATTAATTAATTCCTCTTCTTGCCCATGAATGACCCCACTGGCAAGAAGTGCCTGCAAAAACTAAAAACCAAACCAAGGCCTGTGGTTTATCAATTTCCCTATCCATTTTCACAACAGCAGAAAAACACAGGGATTCAGGAGGTGTGAATCCTACTGAATTTCAGGCCCTGCTTGTGCTTGTCCCTTGTTACCTACCCTTCGACCGAGGATTTGGTTGATGGCTGCACTCTCTTTCAATGTGCATTCTGCTACAACTTTTGCTCTCATTTCCTTCATATACAACATAAATGCATTAAGAGGTTTCTTTATGTGTGGCTTCTTTTTCTCTTCTTCTTTTTTGGAGTCCTGATGTTTTCTGAAGAATAAAAATACAACAGACAGAGACATCACAGTGAGAACCCATTCTGAGTTTATTAAATTAATCCCCTCAAGCCCTCTAGCATAAATCCTCAGCAATCTCTAGGAAGAGGAGCAGAAGGTTCTCTAGAGCCTTCACCCTGGCTGCTGTATGGGAACAGTCTTAAGAGCATTACAAGAAAACTCACCTCATGCTTATGCAACATCACCAAGCACCCTCTGAGCCCCTACAAGGACCTTGGAAGGACACAGGCTCCAAGGGCTCCAAAAATGGGCTCACAGGGAGAGCTTGAGCATGACAGTAGAGGAAATAATTATACCCCATTATCAATGGGCTCTCCTAAGTTCAAACCTAAACTTGATATCAGCTCTCTGCAGCTTTGAAGAAGCCATTTATGCTTAGTTTTTTTGTCTCCTGTGATGCATCTGTTATCTCAAGGCTTCAAACTAGGCATTGACTAATACAGAAACTGGTCAAGAAACTTGAATCTCAATCAAGAAAATTCCACTTCCTTGTTGAAACAGGTGAAATTAGTAACTCCTTGCCTCTGTCATAGAATGACTCAAAGACTGTTACCATCATTTTGACACGCTTTGGCAGCCAAACCATGTTCAAGTCAATTATAACAGAAAAGAAAAAAATTGAAAAAAAAAAAAAATTTCCCAGCAAAAACATCACAAACCTAAGCCTTTTTACAAGCCACACATGCATAGGGGATGCTGTGAGTGTCCCAAAGGGAAGACAGGGGAAGCAACAACTTACGAGCTGTGGAGTGAGCCGACGTCGCTCTGGGAAGATTCCTGTTTGACTGTTGGTGTGACTATGGCCGGATGAGGAATTCCAGTTGTATGTAAACTATGGTGTGGCGGGACCATGTGTGGAGGAAACCTAGAGGAGAGAAAGCTGTGTAAATCGTCAGAATAAAAATGAATGAATGGGGAGGGATGTGTACACACATTAAAAAAAAAAAAAACTAAAAAACAACTGGCATATAACAAGCACATGACAGCAAGACAAAGCATATGAAAGCTGGCAGCATTAATTAGCAATAAATTAAACATAATGACTCTTCTAATGTCATTAAAGCCAATCTTCCCCTTCATTATCATTACTGACACGAGACATCATGATTTTTAACATCTTTAAAAAAAGGCAAATTCAACTGGATGAACTTGTATGAAGGTGGAATTTCAGCCACCTGAAACAAAATCCACCAGTCCATTTCTTCGCTAAGAAATTATGTGTGGCAGCCAAGGAATCAATTTTTATAGTTCTGAATCATGTTGTGAATTTAGGATGACATCTTTTATTCTATATTGACAGCAAAATAAAATATTAATGCCAACACATTCTAGATGCATTTTTGATAATACTTATAGACGCCTCATTAGCTACATTTTGTTGATGGAGCAAAAGAAAATATTTATTTGTGTCTAATAAATCTCTGAGCCACATTGCTTTAACAGAAGGTGGAAGACTGTGGAATTTTTGATCCATTACAGTAACCTAGAAAGGCTTTAACAGTCTAGCCTTTCTAAAGAGAAAAAATGTTGTCAGCTTTATGGTTTATGGTCATATACATGGACAGATCCCGGTCCTGCAAGTGGATTCAGAGGGATATGCAATCTCTCTGCATGAATCTAATTGCTTGGTCGGGATCACAGCACAAACATGGCACAATCATTCAGACTTTTTACATTTTAACAGAAATGAACAAACTTCTCAAAGCAGGATTGACTTATATCATTGTTTCTCAACAGTCTCAGAAAGGTTTTGCAGTGAATAAGGAAAGCACAGCATGACTGACTGCCTTCCCCTTAAGAAAACTCCCACTGAAGTCAATGAGCTCCCAGAGAATGGGTTCTAGCCTAAAATCATGTTTCAGAAGCTGCTTTCTTCAAAACACCAAAATTTAAGTGATCTGGCAAGGGCTTTTCTCACTGTAAATCCCCACTCTCATCCCAGATTTTGAAAAATCTGATCCAAGTAAAATAACCCAAGATTATGGAACGCTCAATGGGATAAATAATTATTTCTTCTATCATCAATATACAGTGATTTTCTTCTACCCTACAGGATTTAAAATGGGGTGATATACCACAGATATCACCATGTATAAGCATCAGAAATATAGTGGGGTTATCTTTTTCTCCCCTCTCTTAAAAATTCCAGTAGTGATCTTAACAATCCCATCCCCTGTGACTGCCTAGACATTTTCTACATTCACAAGATGACACAGATGTACTTTCATGAACAAGAGCACTGTCCACTACAAGCTCTGAGGATCTTTTGTCTATCAGCTGGTAGCACTCAGGGTGATTAGACAGAACTATTTTGTCTCTGAAGGCAGTGGTGGGAAGAGCACGGACTGACAAGGAGAATGTGAAATTGTTCAAGTTGTAGAGAATTGCAAAGGCATGGAGAGAAGGGAGGCAGGAAGGTGGGATGGCAAGGGAAGAGGAGAATGGGCAGCAAAATGGTCATTCCTACTTCTGCTAAAGACTCACGGACACAAATCTCCAAGTGGATTGTCCAAGTGCCTTCCCACTCTCTGACAAAAGTAGCTGGGAGAGAAGCACACATTTGAGGATATACTTTGGTTCATGGAAGGTCAGAACAGAAGACAATGTCGAGGCGGCAAAGGAGACTGGCACCTTGTCCCAGTTCTGCCACAGAACTGCTCCCCATCAGCAAGACACAAACTGGGCTTTGGTATTATTTTTTTCTGTTCTCTCTCTAGTTCCAGGTGTATTTTGATTGGACATATCTAAAATTTGTTCGTACAGTGCCTGGGACCTTCAGACACAGTACAGTGCAAATAAAAACTGGCAGTATGAGTCGGATTTTTTAAACAAATAACTAACAAACATGAGCAAAAATAAAACTGGTGGCAAAAAACTGACTTTGCTGAAAGCAGCCTAAGCACAGTGATAACAGGTTGAGACACATCCCATCAAGTGACTGTCCTAGGCAAGACCCAGTGTTTCAGAGAGGATTATGCTGCTGGGGCTGGCTAGGCCAGAGACAAGGGGACAATGAAGGATGGAGATGAAAAGCCTTCCTTCAGAGAGCAGGTAGGAAGAGCTGTGCTGGTCTGACATGAGGGCTCAGTGTGAAGTGCAGTGGGCATGTACCAGCAGAGAGAAAATCTGAGTGCAGATCACAACCTGCACACGTTGTGTGAAAGCCTGAAGGATGACAAAGCCTCCACTGACCTCAGCTGGCATATTTTACTCAGTGGGCTCTAAACTCCAGAGACAGCAGCTTTCATCAACAGGCAGCTGCAGCTCAGTGGTTATTTTCAGGGTTGCAGATTCCATGAGGAAGCGCTGTGTTCATTACCAATGACCATTCACTTTCTGATGCTGTATCTGTCCAGATTCAAAAGACTGCCTATTGGACTTACACACACCTTCCTATGTTTAGGGGTAGAAAAACATGCTCCAGAACCCAAAGTTGCTGTCACAATCCCATGGACTTCTGTGGGTGGGATGAGGGCTCAGCCCAAAGTCTGAGTGCCTGCTCATTTCCATGTAGACAGCCACTCATGTGGCAATATGAGCAGGGGAAGAGTGTTAATTTTTAACTTCCTGGCTACACTCCAACTTCAGTAATTACATTCAGCAAAAGTGAATTTCCCCTGAATTTCAATTACAGAAGGTATTTTCCACTGCCACCACTTAACTGCTGTGCAGTGTTTGTCTGGTGTAATTCTGCTAAATTATTTCCTGATTTCCTCTCACCGCAGTTGTTTTTTCATAGTGGGTCCACTGTTTGCCCATCACTCAGCCCTGTCTCATTTTACCTTAAAGGCATATTACAGAGGGGTGATGAAGGATCAAGAGATGTTACAGGCATGCTACAAGAACACAACATGAATGTGGCAAGGCTACCAGCAACAACCAAGAGTTGTAAATGGTTAAAACAACCTGAAGACACTACTTTAAAAGACTAAACCATTTATGAAAAATCACTATTAGTCACCCATTAACCTTTAATAAACTATTCATAACCACACTCTAGCTAATGAACAGTAATTACTAAGCTTAGGGAACTACAGGTTGGGAAGCACAATAGGCTCCAAAGATCTCTACCATAATGCAGGCAAAGATGGGAACTACTTTTGAAGGAAGGCTCTAGAAAACTGTGCATGGAAGGATGAGGTTTGAGGTCTGTGCTGACTTCACTGTTGTGGCAAAGCCAGCACAGCAAGGGCAAGGTTTGCAGCAGGGGCTTGCAGCAGGGCCCTGCAGGGCTGTTGCCCAGGGCCAGCCATGAGTTGTATTTCTGGAGGTCAGCACTGCCAGGAATCTCCTGACCACACCAGACACCTGGACAAGGGCTGTCCCACTGCAGAGCCCAGGCTGACATGGGAAAACATACATGAAACCACATATGAGAGCACAGCTTGCCCAGAGGGTGTTCCCATCTACAGGAAACCAGAGGAGAAGCTTCTGGGCTGAAACAAAGGGTAAACACCTTAAATCTATTCAGCCCCTGCACGTGTGCCTGAGCATGTGTGCACGTATGGGCTTCTGTCAGAGACAAAAAGAAAGGCTCCCTGTGTATATGCACACCCCTCACCTTCGCCTAAGACATTCACCAGATTTTTTTTTTCTCTAGACAAGTATTCCATGAATTGCAATAAACACCCTAAAAATTCTAAGCAGCTCATTATACACCACTGTCTCCTTTTATGGCTCCAAGCCAGAATATAATGATGAGTCTTAACTTGTTAAGGACAACTAATTTTTTGTTCCTGGCTGTCTCAGGGGCTTCTCTCTTACTCACTCTCACTTTACTTCACTGTTGACATGTTTCTGTTAACTGGATGTCATCTGCCTGCCTTGATTTTATGCACAAGCAGTGGGATGCATTTTTCTGTGCAACAATTCTGCTTTGAGTTGCATTAGATTTGTCATTATTCTCTCATTTTCCCCTTGCACTTGTAACATTTCATCTATTCCTGCCTTATTTTTTGAGCCACGGTGCACCCACATTATGGTTTATACATGATCTTGCTCCCTTTGAAGCCGGCAGATTTCAGAGCCAGCCCTCGTCAGGAGAAGTGCCTGCTACCAATTTAGCAGGCTGAGGGCCCCGAGCTCCAACAACTCAATCTAAAGGGGGTCACAGGGTGGCACAAGCGAGTGTCAGCAAGTGCTGTTTAATTGCCAATCTAGGCTTCTCCATGGTGTTTAAAGTATAATGACCCATCACTTAATTCTGAGAAGTCCTGGCCCTGCTGCTGAATGGAATGAATATCAAAGGATGTGCTAGAACAGGGCAAGGAGCCTACATTTCCTATAACTGCCATAAGTATAATAGACCTCTACTTCTGTCGTCCCATTACCACAATAATGTATTTAATTTGCTGTGTACTCTTTTTAACTAGATACCTTTCATAAAGTCTATCTTGGGAATATAGCCCCCCCCCCCCTTCCACATCTCCCCCCTCCCTCAAATGACTAGCCTCTCTAATAATAATTAAACTAAATCAAGCTCTACTTTGCCTCACACCATGCCTGCAAGTCTTTTATAGATATTAAAAAAGATTAAATAGGGGGAGGGAACCATTGTTTAGATTTGCAGCTCTCTCCCCAGCCTATTTTTTTTTTTGTGCTGGGACTACATATTTATTTTTTTTTCCCAGTTGATTTTCCAGTTTTCTATTTGCTGGACCAGCATTTTAATTTAAATTTTTATTTTTTTGGTTACTTGTCTAAAGCACACACACCACACTGTTTTCCCACCCATTCATTCATGAGCCCTAGGTACAGATTTCCACTTCTCAATGAGGTGTGCTTCCCCCCAGCCCTCACCAGTCTTTTCCTCCTTAGATCATCTATGCACCAACAGCCACATATTAAACTGCAGAGATGGAGAGGAAGGGACAGAGCAGGGAAGAGACGTGGAACCTTGCTATGTAATGCATGCTAATTTAATTATGTGCCATCATCAAAATGGATTAGCTGTTTCAGCCCATCAGGAAAGTCTAAACTTCCACCGATTTAATTAACCAGGCTGAAAATCAGATGAACAGAAAATAAAACTATCATTAGGAGCAATTACTGATTACTTAAACATAGTGCTGCCAACCAGTTTGTAAATAAAACTAGCAGCCCCTGGAAAATTAGATGGAATTAATTGGAGGTAGGGAGGGGGAGAAATATATACTTCTAAAGCTTTTGAGGGTCAGGCAGGCCCTTTTATGTTGACTATCAGTGTTTGGAGCTTTGGGAGGGGAAAACACAGCACAATAACCTTCCTCCCAACTCTGCTGAAGAGCGGCCCTCCTCCCTCCTGAGCCCTCCCGTGCACACAGCGCTGCTCTGGCTGATGGCCACTGAGAAAGAAAAGGCTATCACAACTTCTCAACCTTGCTTTTTCAACATTGCATTCTCCCAGCTCTTTCATTTAGTTTGGCTTTTAAAGGTGGCTTCTCACTCCTCCACCCTCACTCCCTCTAAAACAAATTCTTGAGGCCCAATGACAGCATTAGGACACCACCTTCTCCTCACGTGGGAAGGTAGCCCTTGCCCTCTCCTCCTCCACTCCACCAAAAAGCTAAGGAGGGACATTTAACTGAAGTGCTTTCAGAAATCTGCTGCCTAGACAAAATGCTCTCCTCCAGAGAGTGGGAGGAGGAGCTACATTTGCTCTTGATTTAGGATCTCAGTATTTGAACTCACCTTGACATGGAAGCATTGACGGTCAGAGCTGTTGGGTAAGGGTGGCGGAAACCCCCTGTCGTGATTGGGTACACTGGCTGACCTTGCCTGGCAAAAAAGAAGGGAAAGACAGAATGAGAAAAAGGGAAAAAGGGCTTAAAAAAAAAAAAAAAAAAAAAAAAAAAAAAAAAAAAAAAAACAACAAAAAACTTCTCTCTGCACAGTAAGCTTTATTCTCATTTGATCAGAACAAAAATCTTGGGGATTGTACAGCAAGGATCAAAGGAAAGAAACACAGAACAATTTGAATGCCATAAATCTGATAGGAATGGCTAATTAAATTTTATAACCTCTGCTTATGTCAATAGAGACCCTCTCCCCAAGCTGAAACTAGGTGTTTTGTTGTAATAATTAAAGGCGAAGTCTCGCTTGCTTTAATGGAGCCATCACACTAATTGAGGGCTACACATCCAAAGGAAAACAATAATGAATGTAAATTTATACCAAAATAAAGTACAGTGAATCAAAGGACTTCAGTTGCGCTTTGGGCCTCTTTCGGTATTTAGATCTCGGTGAGAAAACATTAAATTAACAGAGCTTAATTTGTAGCCTTTTGTCAGATTAACAAGTGTTGACAAGAGTTACCGGGGGAGAGTCCCCAAGAAGTATTGTGGGTAACCAATAGACAATCACACCTCATTACAATAATTAAAAAATACAGCAACATGCAAAACAGCATCCTCATGAAAGACACACAACTTTTTCTGATGGAGGTTTGTCTGTGCTGGCTAGCTCGTTTCATCTGTCCTTCAAATACATCATCTGACTGGGCAGGATGCTTTTGGGGTGGGTGCTATGCCACAAACATGCAGGCCAGTGGAGGATAGATGGGCTGGGAAGCTGATGGTGAAGTGCAAGTGGCAAGGAGAGGGGGGAAATTAAAATCTTGGGTTACTTCTGTGAAGTTGGCCATGCTACTCTCCTAGAGCAAAAGCCAATGTGATGGTGTTGCCCTCAACAAAAATCACTGGGAGAAGCTCTAAGAGCTGTGGGTAGGCAAGCACACCACGGTGTTGACTTGTCCTGAAGCAGTGGGGGTGACAGAGGTGGCCATTAGCACCTGTCTGGTGAAACTGGCCACATGTGGCATCAGTCTCCTGCTTTGGCAGCCACGGCATGAGGTCCAGTGAGGACAAACCTGCATCTGCAAAATTCTGACATACAGATGAGCAGTGGGGTATAGGTCAGGGACAGTGAGGAGTTTCTTCCCTGTTCTCTCATGTCTTTCATGCCACTGACTTTTGGCACTTAAAGCTGAGTTTATTTGTTTCAAATGTTGTGGCTGTTGCTGTGCAAACTTGAGCTAAGGAGCTCACATGCAGTGTGCAATTGTTCAGGGTGTCCTTTGGAAAAGGTAAATCACCACAAATGAGGAGGAACTTCAGATTTCGGGGAGCAATGCTTTGTGTTTTTCTTCTGCTCATGATGTGCTCTCCTGGAGAAGCAACCTTCAGCAGAGAGGTGATGGACATGCTTCTCCCTTGGGCTGGGAGAACCTTTACCAAAAATAGCTGCATGACCACCCACAAGGAAGGGCAGCCTGCAAAATGGCCAGAAGCTCCAGCTCTCCTGCATCAACACTTTTGTGCTTGAAAAAGGCCTCCAAAGCCTCTGATGCCACCACCACTCCTTGCCCGAGGCCTGGGGATATGTGGTGACCCCCCTGCTCTGCCCTGCTCTCCCTGTGGGGTGTCAACTCCAGCTCCTCATGGAGGGCAAACTTGTGGAGAGGTATTTTAGCACAGCTGGCCAAACAACCCCAAGCAGGAGCAAACTGTCTTGAACTCTGGGCAATCTTCACTAAGAAATATGATCACCCCAAAATGGAGGAGGCTTGTTATGGGAGAAAAACAGGGTAACAGCCTTGATTTATAATGCAGAGATCTGTTGTATCCAGCAATACAAAGGGATTTTATAAGCATTTAAATCAAATATACTACACAAAAGGCTTAGGCAGTGCTTAAGTGTATTATAAACCTATTGAGAGATGGCAACATAAGGAAAAAAAAAAGAAAATAAGGACTCAATTACTGCTGGGAGCCTCATACCCAGCAAAGCTCTAAAAGTGGGATCTGAGGAGCTGAAAAGAAAACAAAACCCCAAACTAACTTTCCATTGCTTTTTTCTTAGCCAGTTTTAAAGTAAACTAATTCCTTTTTCTTGTTTAAAATTCCATTCCTCAGATGCCAATTGCCAACTGCCCAGCCACATCTCAGCTTGGAATGCTGTTCACTGGCTGATGCAAAGCTCTACTGTTTCACAAGAAAAACAAAAATGTTTTCAGCAGAGAAAGCAAATGAAATTGAAAATTTGTAGTGAGGATGGCCCTAGCAAAAAAAATAAAAAAAGAATAATAATAAAAAAAATGGTCTGTGAGAACCTGAGCCCCCAGAAAACCAAATCTGAGAAAAACTCATGTGGTGCAGTCTAAGGGCAGTAACAAGAAAGGACATTTCTGCAAAAGGGTTTAAAAATTCATGCTTCACGAGCATGGTCAGCTGGTTGGGATGACATGCAAAGCTGTGTCCAACTGCTCATGTTTGTTTAAGACCACATGACCCAGCATAAGTTTTAATTAACCTTCATGAGGTGGGTAAACTCATAACACTCAGTGAAGTGGCAGCTGGCAAACAAACTCATCCCAATGCACACACACACACACACACACACACACACACACACACATATTTTGACATAAATTTCACACATCAGAAAAAGAAAAAAAGAAATTAAAAAAATGGAACTCCTTACTGTGGTACTAACCATCCTAGCGGATGGGGGATTTGTCCTACAGTGCCTGGTGATAATGGATAATAAGGAGATATATCTGGAGGATGTGGAGGCCTTGGAATTCCTATAGAAGAGGAACATAAAGCAGCGTCAGTACTGAGATGTGGAAATAAATAAAATATAAAGGAAAAACACATATGTTTCTAAATTTCTGTTGGTTTACTTTAATTACAGTATTTGTGCCTTCACTTCGCGGTTTCAAAGGCTTTTTCCTATTCTTATTTTTTAAACAAGAAAAAATTGTTATTCACTCCCTCAGTCACCTCTCCAGTCAGAGATAATTATTTTTGTTATTTAGAGTTTAGCAGTGCAATGCTGTACTAGATACTCTCTTAAATGTTCAGCAGAAATATGGACCCTGTAGCAACTTCATGGTTATTTTAGTCCCAAAGTCAGCCAAAAGACCACAGACCCCACCCATGTGGTGACTGGATACTCAATAACATGGCATTATTCCAAAGCAATCTCCAGAACAAGTTTAAAAGTCATTAAAATTGCAAATGATGTTTGCTTTTGAGCTACCCTAGGAAACCTTTTCTGAAACTGTGAATGGAACTGAGAGCCCCTGGAAATGCTTGGTAAAACCAGGGGCAGATGTTGAAGGTATGCAGGGGAGGACAGAGAGCCCACCCATCCTCTCTGGATGAGGAGCAGTTCCTACTCAGAAAGCAGAAACCAGCTCCAGACACAAGCCCTAAATATTAACGCTTAAGAGCAAATAGGAATTACTCAGAGGAGTAAGGGTTACAAAGCTGGGTCTTTCAATTAACAAGCCATGGCACAATTACACAGCAGAAGGAAAATTAAAACAGAGACCATTAAAAAGAAGGGGTACTGTATTCAGGGCTAAAAACTATTTTTTTAAGTCACTTGGGAAGCTTTTAATCTCTAAATTAAATCTCCTTGTGTGACATTTTCATGCAGACATTGCTTTTTCTCCATTACAAAACCCAAACAGATTAACTGGGCTTTAACCATCCAGTGAGCTATTTGCACACTTGAAAGAATGTTCACAGAAGAAAAGTAAACAGTCTACAGACGTTAATCATATGTTTTACGATAACCATTTAAAAGCTATTCCCTGTACTACCATTATTTAAATGAGAGGTTGACTATGCCATTCACTTGCAATACCCAGGGATGGCGAGATGGATTCCTTTCAAGCCATGTGAAGTCAGCATTAGGCACAATTAAAAGGGGGCCCCAGTTGAAGCATAGTGAGTGAAAACCAGCTAATGCACAGCCTCAATCAAGGGCTGGAGTTCACATAAATTATCTGCATAAGTTAGGGCTGACACAGAGTGATTCCTCTGACTTGAATCCTGATTCTGATGAACTTCCCAATTAACTAAATGGGGTTTGGATTAACAAAACTAAAACCACTGTCACTAGGAGCTCAGTGCAGCCAGATTGACACTGTTTGACTTCTTTGGGAGCTCAGGTTAAAAAGGGACTCTTAAAAAGTTAGAATAACATGTAAATTCTATTCTGTAACACCAATAAATCTAGTCAGGGTTTTACGTGGTGCTCTATATTCAATCAGAGTGCCCTTCAGGCTGAACTTAGAGTTGGGTAGACTTACATTGGGGAAAAGAGTTGCAAGTGTAAAGCTGGAGCTAAGTAGTTACAGTGGATGAAAATTCAACATTATAGAAGAAAAATGGCTGAACTCCTGACACAGAAACAATGGGATTTGGGGAATTAAAAGAGATTCATTTTGAAACCGGTCATGACCCACCACCTTTAAAATTCCAGCTGCAATTTTGTAAGTGCAGATCACAGAATGTACATGTTTAATTCTCTGGGTCGTGCATGCAAACCAAGCACTGGTAGATCGAACTACCAGGTGGGGTATCATGCTTGCAAAGAAACACACCTGCAAGCGACCCCACACATGCAACTCTGGTGTCACCCTGCAGAAGCTCTATGAAAATTCACCCAGTAGGTTTCCTTCTGAAGCCTAATTGGCTTAAAAAGAAAGCATTTTGTCTGGGTTTGACATTTTACATGCCCCCTTTGGTGCTCCAGCATGGGAAATCCATTCTCCTGCACTCCTCTCCCCTAATGCACAAAAAGGAAAGATCCACCCACTCCCTCTCAAAAGAAGCCCCAAAATACTTTCCACCTACCTGTTTTGGGATCTACGTCAGCTGGTAAGTGTGGAGGAGGGTTTCCTGGTGTGAAGTGCTCATTGCTGTATGTGATAAGCGGCGTAAGAGGGTGTACATGGTGTGGGTGCTGCACAACTGGCACTTTGTTAGACTGTCAAGAGAAAAAGGTTGATGCTGTTAGAGCAGTGCTGGGCATCCTCCCCACTACAGCATGAGGTACAACATGTAAAAATCTGAGCAGCCAGGATTTCAAATGTGATCCTCAGACTTTTCCAGATCCCTTCTAGGCGTCACCCTTGCAGTTTTCCCACCCTCTTGCTTAAAACCTCCTCACACACTTTCCCTGCTGTTGAGGTTCTTTAATCTTTTTGACCTGTCATGCTCCTGTATGGAGCAACAGCAATTCTTTAAAAATTTCCCTTCTTATTTTATAATCTTGTGCTTCACCTCCAAGATGCAGGCAGACTCCTCAGTGAGGGGCTGAGAGAGTCCCCCATTTAATTAGCAAGAGACCCAAATGCTCACTGACCTGTAGGTCTTTTCCTCTCCCCTTCCTGTCCTCACTCTCAGTTCTGCATTTTACTGCTCATTGCAAATACTCCAGATAAAAAGCCTTTGTAGTGCTGGAGTATTCCCTTCATCAGCAAGCATTAAGCTGACAAGCGATCACCTGCATATTTTATATATATATATTTTAGAAGAGCTGATTAATTATCAATTCATCAGAGAGCGCTAATAAATGGAAACTGGATACTGATTAATTAGGCTACTACAATATTCAGCTATATAAATAATGGCAAACCCCCCCCAGATAAAGCCATTGAAATTAACAGCCTTGTAGGGGAAATAATCACGCAGATATCATGATCCCCCCCATCACATTCCTAGCTCTGGGGGGAAAAAAAATCTTTTTTTCAACAACAATAAAAAAATAACTTAAAAAAAGGAGTGAATGAATGAAATATAACAGCAGGCTGAACTGTAACTTACCCTTACAAGATCACAAAGAAAAAATTAAGCTGAAACCAGCTGAACTGCTGGACCATTTACTGCGAGTAATCCAATTGCAAAAAACCCTATTCCCCATAGAGGATTTTCACTAAAATCCTACAACAGGGACATTTAACCAGATTAGGTACCAGCAAAGATAAAGAGGCTGGTATTAGATGATGAATGGATTAGAGTCAGGTTTCATTTTAGAATGTGTCTTCATTTCCTTTTATTACTTTAAGTAAGGAACAACTTGCATTAACATCAAGTAAAAGGAATCACATTAAAATAAAGTAGTGATGCCACAGTGGCCGCGATAGCGCCGCTGCTGTTCAGGGTCTGCCAGCACTCTCCTGCTCACCCTCCTGCTCCAGGACAGCTCCAAGCCCACACTCACTCCCCAGAACCCCCAAACACATGCACACACCCTCACTGTGCCACCTCAGACAAACTATTGCTATTATCTGATCTGGCTTCCAATGCTCTGAGCTCCCCTTAAAAGCATTTCAAAAATAATTCAGTTATTCTTTGGGAATGAGCTTCCAGACTGTGGGGAATGGAGAGGGAAGACAAACTGGGAGCAAGGAGGGAAAGAAACATCTGTCTTCCCTGAATAAACAAGAAGTCCCTCCACCATGCTTTGGTGGAGCCCCTTTGGCTCCCCCAGCCCCTGCCATATGTGGCTATTTGGGCTCACTGCTTTGATAACCTGCAGAAAGAAGTGTGCATCCAAAAGAAGCCAGCCAAGAGCTGTACTTTTGCTTCCCACAACTTCTCCCTTGTTCTTCACCATGTTCATCTTTCTGCCACCCTTACATGGGATGATTCCTCTCCACCACCAAGCACTTGGCACAGGTGATTTCCATGTCAAGTGGCCACCACGCAGGAAAGCACGTGGTCACGACAGCCAATGCTGATTTACAGCAGGTTGTGTTGGCTGGGTTGTGGGACAAATTTCTGCCAGCTGAACAACCAAGGACAACTTTTGGCCATGTGGATCCATGATGGTTTCACATCAGAGGAGATACGAGGATTTGGCTGTCCAAGTTCAAAAAGTCAAAAGAGATGCTCTAACCCAACATCTGTTCTCTTTCAAGTGAACCAACCCAAGCAGTCCAAAAATAACTGAAAGTTTTGGCAAGGGCTTCACCTAACAAATTATATTTCACACCATACAAAGTAGAAGGCATCTACTCAACAACACATGACATTATAAGCCAAATGAGCAGTTGGTGAGGTTCAGGAAAATGATCATTTCCAATAAGATCAATTTTTTCTGGCCAAGAATTGTGTGAACTCCTGCTGTTAAGTGACCCACAGTGTGGCCCCATTTATTGAAGAAGTTAATACATGCTGTAGCTTTGTGCTCTCCCAACACTATCTTCATATCATTGTAAACCTCACCCAGACCCTGACAGACATTAAGGGCTGTCTTGCAAAGAGAGCTTATTTTCACAGAAACTGGAGCTGGTTAGTTAAAGAAAATAAGCAGAATAACATTAGAGAGTCAGACTTAAGCTGACAAACAAGAAACAACACATGAGAGGAAAGCTGGACTGACATGGCTCCATCACCAAAGCCAGATGTACCATAGGGGGTTACATGTAAACTGTGGGAAACCACCACTCATTGCTTTGATACACCAAGACCGCCAACAATTTCACCACAAAACAGAACAACTGCTAAATTATGATGTATTTCACTTAACATGTTTCAGAGACAAATAAAAAGCAAAAGGAAAAACAAATAAAAATCAACAACTAAGAGCCTGAACCTTAAGTCTGCAAAATTTTTCCCCTGGTAGGTCATTTTTGTTCAGGTGACTACCATGCACTCAAATAGACCACTCATATAGAGGTGCAAGGGTAGGGTACTCTTTTGCCACTCTGATAATGTTGGGGCAGAGGTGGGAGGAGAACATACCAGGGGAAAGGGAGAAAGTGTCATATACATGCTCAGAAATATGCTCTCTGGGACAGGGGAGTGTGATCCACTTCCCAGCGAGTCAGTCTGCATCTGCACCACTACCCAGGGACAGGTTTCTATTCTCTTCTGCACTGTTCAGCACACACTGGGGAAAGGGACCATACCTGCCCTCAGAACAGCACACACAATTTGCAAGCCAAGCTAAACATGCATAATATGCTAAACAAGCTGCTCTTTCTAAGTACTGTTCCTGAAGTTAACAAAGCTTCCTTGGAAAAGAGAAAAATAAAGGACTAACTAGGAAAGAGCAGGATTAATCCTGCAGATGCATCTTCCTTTGAAGTCAATAGGATCTGTGCCTGAGTAACAAGTGTGGTCCTAACCCCATCCACTGGCAATGAAAGGTAAACCACAGAAGCCATCAATAGAGACACCTATTAGATGACTTTAGACATTCCCCTGCAAAAGGCAATATTCTCCAATATACATTTGTGAGCCCTTTATCAAGGGCAGCTTTAAGCTAAGAGCCATTGTGAGATGCAGGGGTTTCTCTGGCAAGCTGAAGAGCTCCATTTATGGCTCTGTCAGGCATGGGAAGAGGAGCTGCACTGGAACACACAGATTAGCATCAGGGCATGTGGTAACAGGACAGGAACAAGCAGAGATTTCTAAAGAGAAATCCCAGCACCTATGAAGCACCAAGTCCTCTGCTGATATATCACCCCTCTCCACTGAAAGCTGAGGTCTCATATGCTGGGTTAGAGGGCATGGTAAATAATTGCAAAAAAACAAGAGAAGTTTGCTTTTCTTGATAACTGCTGCCTGAAGCAACCAGAGGAAATTGTCCCCATAGGGGCTCTACTGCTAAATCTCTGTATATGAATTTGAAATGCTTCTAGGAGTGCTTAAACACAGATCAGTTTGAACAATAATGGAGCTCTAGAACAAAAAAAATTCCCACACCAAAACCACAACAAATTTTGGACTGATAAATGTTTGAGAGGAGTACTGAGAATCATTTAGACTAAGTTCTGATAGGTGCCTTTAGGGAACAAAAAAACGTATCTGAACTTCAGATTTAAACTGCAGGGGATAGTGTGTATAAATTGCTGTGTATTAGTCTTTGTTGCATGGTAAGGACATTTCATTAACGGGATGAAAGATGCTTCTATGCTTATACAGCCCAATTTAATACACCCCACTGATGAATACTCGCCATTTATTGAAGAAGTTAATACATGCTGTATAAATCAATAGTTCCTAAGTCTCTAAAAGCAACATAAGACTTGCAAAAGATTAAACATTGTATTGTTGAGCACACAAAGAGAAACCAAGCTCTAAACAGGAAGAGTTTACTACTGCAATTTCTGCTTGCAAATTCATGGCTTGTTTGGCTTTGGTAATAAAAACACAGTATCAACTCCAAGTCAGAAAAAACCATGCCAGAGACACCAGAGGATGCCCTCACCAGGATAAGGTGTGGTTGGTAAAGGCAGATCTGCACAAAAAGCCACCCAGGCTGAAAAGAAGCCATCGTGCCATGGCAGCATCGCAGCGGCCAAAGCCTTCGGCCTCTGACTCCTTTCCAGCACATCCCCAAGGCAGGGCAGGGGGATGCTCCTGCACCAACCCAGCCTCAAACTCCAGTAGGTGCCAGCATAGCCCCCTTCCCTGACCTGGGTGGCCTTTTAAATGTCCTGTGGGGCAGGGAGGAGCTGCAGCCCACCAGGCACCCCTCAACCACCCGTGACCAGGAGCGTGGCACGGGAGGGACTGAGCAGGTGCTCACACCCAGACCCCCAGAGCCCTGGCCCCTTCCTCCACTATCAGAGGAATGAGAGCTCTCCATCCTTCTTAAAAGCTTTTAATCAAGAGACACTGGAAACAAATGGAGCTAGAGCTCCGCCTGTCTTTTTGCCATGTCCTTCTCTTCCCCACTGCTCTCCTTTTCTGCTGAAGAAAGATGGGCCCTGAAAGTGCTTTTATGAGCCTAATACAATAAAACAAAAGCAGCACAGAAGAGGGTTTGTCAGCCTTTTCCCCTCCTCCAGGGTGGATGCAGGTCGACAGTGGTCTTGAATTAGCAGGCCCTCCTGGAGTTGCTCCCTGGGCTCAGCTTAGCAAGGACCACCATTCAATACCAGTTCACACTAAAAAATAGCTTTGTAAATTGTTTCTCTGTGTTTTCCAGATGATGCTATTGCAGTTATGCTGACTGTGGCCAGTGAAATGCTA